AATAACAATTCCAAAACACAATACATAGCACAATACATAGCACATATCATCACAAAGATGCAAATGTAGCAGTACCACACCACATAGTCCACAACATAAAAATAAACAACACATCACAAATCTCAAGTCCAAAGCACATAGTCTAACTCATATTATAAACATAAAAATTTCTCAATTTTACTCCTTATCTTCTGAATCACCGCTATACCACTTTTCTGCAAGCTCATAATCAGGATAGAAAGGATATGGAGGAAATTGCACTCCTGGGTCACCCTAATTAGGTTCTCTAGAGATGAGTCGAATTTCTCTTCATAATCACTCTTTCTCCTACTATACCTATCAGTATGCTCTACAAAACACTCTAAATTCTAAACTTTATCAGCGGTAAAATGAAAATGATCCATCATCATCTGCAATAATTGATCTTGGGTCTCAGTAGACTCACCTCTAGATGTAGAAGCATGTGAGTTAGATGGTCTAGATGTAAAAGCAGCAGAGGTAGAAGCAGTAGATGTCTCCATTCCATAACTCCTAGAAAATCCTCATCTCCAGCCAAAATATAATGCTCAGAATAAGTCTTCATATTCACCTTAGTGATGGGCTTTAGAGGTAACTACACTTCCTCCCAGTAATCTTGACTCCAGCCTGCTCACACAAAGAAAAGAACAAGGAAGCAAATCCCAGATCTGCAGTAGTAACAGCAGTGGCAGAACTGATGATAGTTTGATAAATCAAAGCTCCTATGTTGATGAGCTTTCCTTCCTGGATACAATAATTTAACATCGCTCTCTCTCTGGTCACTTCACTGAGATGATTTGTTGGTAGCAGACGAGCAAAAATAAAATTGAGCCAGGCCTTTGAGGTACTCATAACTTTGAAGTTGGGAAGTTGACTCTCCTCACATTAGTGATCTTCCAAAGTCCTCTTCCAAAAGTCAAGTAAGAAATAATCTCGTCTAACTCTGCTTCAGTTGGACTATAATTTGCATAAAAACATAATGTAACGGGTGGTAGATGATAAAACAAGTTGATTACCTCTGGTGAAAAATGTACCAACATTTCCTCGAACAATGACTTTATTGTCTTCAGCCTCAGGGAGGTTTGCATAGAACTAGGTTTGCATAGAACTCCCTGGGAGGTTTGCATAGAACTCCCTAAAAACAGAAATAACTATCACAACAGAGAAATAGTAGAATCTCGGCCACTATCGGCGAACGATCAAATCCTCTACGTCTCCACCTGAATTCCTAAAACACCGCTTCTGAATCAGTTTTCGTGATTGCAACACATCACTGTACCGATCTGGAGCCTTTGAACTAACAAATTTACTCGAATCTAAAGGACTCTTTTCTTTGCTCCTCTTCATTCTTGGTGTCATTCTAAAAAAATTATAAATTCCAAAAATAACTTCAAAATTCAAGTCTAAATTACTAAAGTAAACTTCCAAAGTATAAACTACACTTCCCATGCAATTTTCATAGATTTTTTTCTCATTTTTCACCATGAATAGTGAATTTTTAAATTTCTCCAAATGTGCTCAAAATACATAGTGAAAATCCAAAATTTTTGCATAGAAGTAAGCTCTTACCTCAAGGAACTTGGATCTAGCAAATTTCACTTGATTTCACCAAGAAATTTTCACTTTAGATGTGCCCTAGCCCTCAAAAATCACGAACTCGAGAGGTTGAAGGTGACGGTGGCGTTAAAAATGGTGATTTTCGGGCTGAAATTTTACTTTTAACCGTTCGCGAGC